CTTCAATAGTTGCATGAGCAGCATTAAAATAGCAACTACTTCTACAGTATGTAGGTCAATATGTAGTGATAAACATAGTGAAATATATATTTACCCTGTTCCATAATTCCATAAATAGAGTAACATAGTAAAAACTTGCAAAACACTTTTCTTTAAAAAAAAAAGTACAATCCATTTTTATTTTTTTAACTTGATCTGAAAGTTAACTTGAATGTGTGTAAAAACCTCCAAAACAAAGCTAGCACACACTACCACCACCACAAACATTTACAGCAGAAAAAAAGGTAACTTTCATCACCCTTTAATAGCACAAAAATGGGCAAATAGATTTTATTCAAACATTCCAAAAATATTCATCTTTACATTTGAAAACAGAAACTATAATGGAGGTCTCAATGTAACCCTATAAAAGCATCCTGTATCCATATAAAAGCAGAGATACTATGCTATGAGTAAGACTATTTTAGATTTATTTCTGGCCTGACTGAAACCAGAGCCTGCTTCTGAAATTTTTACAGCCTACTGACTAGACCTAAGACGTTCAAATAACCTTGGAATACCCAGTTGGAATGCGATATACGTAACCAAAACTTTGCACCTTTCGGACCTTACCCATAATTAAACTAAAGGTATGCAAAAGAGCCAAACAGCTTGTGTCATTGTTTACAAATATGGGAACGGCTCCTGAAATGGAACTACATGTAATATGTACTATGATATAATATACTGATGTGAGATTTCTAAAAATAGCTACAGCACTCGACCCAAGGTTTAAGAATCTGAAGTGCTGTCCAAAATCTGAGAGGGACGAGGTTGGAGCATGCTTTTAGAAGTCTTAAAAGAGCAACACTCTGATGCAGAAACTACAGAACCCGAACCACCAAAAAAGAAAATCAACTTTCTGCGGGTGGCATCTGTCTCAGATGATGAAAATCAACATGCGTCAGTCTGCACTGCTTTGGATCGTTATCAAGCAGAACCCAGCAGCAGCATGGACGCATGTCCTCTGGAATGGTGGTTGAAGCATGAAGGGACATATGAATCTTTAGTGCATCTGGCACGTAAATATTTTGCAATGCCAGTTACAACAGTGCCATGCGAATGCCTGTTCTCACTTTCAGGTGACATTGTAAACAAGAAGCAGGCAGCATTATCTCTTGCAAATTGTAACCAACCTTGTTTGTCTGAGTGATTGGCTGACCAATAAGTAGGACTGACTGGACTTGTAGGCTCTAAAGTTTTACATTGTTTTATTTTTAATGCAGTTTTTTTGTATATAATTCTACATTTGTAAGTTCAACTTTCATGATAAAGAGATTGCACTATAGGACTTGTATTAGGTGAATTGAAAAATACATTTTTTTTTGTTTTTTACAGTGCAAATATTGGTAATAAAAAATAAATATAAAGTGAGCACTGTACACTTTGTGTTCTGGGTTGTAATTGAAATTAATATATTTGAAAATGTAGTAAACATCCAAAATTATTTAAAATAAATGGTATTCTATTGTTGTTTAACAGCGCGATTAATTTTTGGTACTTAGCATTTTAAAATCTTACTTCTAATATGAAGTAAAATTTGAAAACATTAAGCCACGTTTACACAATGAATTAAAGAAGTAGAAGAAGGTAAGAAGAAAGGAGAAAGCTTTAAGACAAGAGGAGGCTATTTATTCTCTCCACTCCCTGTGTCTTCTCTGGGACTACGAGAGTGACTGCTCTCATTATACTGTATGATTATATCTCCTGCCTCTAAAGGCAAATTTTTGTTTCAACTCTAGTGTTCTTAAATTTGATTGTCTCCCTGCATGGACAGGTGACTTACACTTTAATCATGCTGAAACTATAAGAATAAAAATCCAAAAAGGAGAAAGGAGAGAAGATTAATAAATTCATAGAGATTACAGATGAAAATGACCGTCAAGTCCACTACATTGCTAATGCACGAGTGTCCCATACAATACATCTTTGTTCAGTCTAGTTTTAAAAATCCCAAGAGATAATGCCTGTCCCTTGCAAAACTAACCCCCTGGCTCAATGTCCTTACTGAGGACATTTTCTTGAAGTGTAGTCTGTTTCATTCCATGACACATGTTAATACATCCTCCAGGGGTGAAAGTAACATAAAAGTCTTACCGGTACAGGGGCCTGCTCTGGGCCCCCAGAAGGGGCAGGACCTCAGGTGGAAAGGTCAGGGCTGGTGATCAGCCTCCCGCAGCCAGCCGTTCTGCACTGGCCAGCCTGTGCCACCCAGGGCTCCGGTCGCAGCTGCAGTAGTTGCGGCGGCAGCTGGGAGCCCCAGGCCCTTTTAAATCGCTGGGCCCCAGGGCAGCTGCTCCTTTTGCCCCACACCCACCCCCTCGGTAGCCCTCGGAGTGGCAAAAGGGGCAGCAACATTAGCGCTTTAATGTCGGCTGTGTATGGGCCCGTACCGGCGGCCACTTCTTACCGGTATGCCATACTGGCCCACTTTCACCACTGACATCCTCACACCATCCTTAACCATTCCTCCCTTGTGTTTGTGTTGTTAATCATTGATCATTATCATTCAATTAGTTTTTGTGTTGCCAAGGTTTTTTTTACATGTTTTCTCATAAATCAGTCTCTTTACCCCCGTAATCATATATATATTTTTGCTCTTCTTTAAATTCACTATGATTTGTTGATGCATTTCTGGTGTGTGAGGGACCTTAAACTAAACACAGTATTTTAAGCACAGTTGCACCATGGATATATCTGGCCAGATTCTGCCATCCTTACTCATGCTGGATAGTACCTTTATTCCAGGAGTAGTCTCAATGAAGTCAAAAGGACTTCTAATGGAGGAAGGTGCTACCCAAAATGAGTAAATATGGCTAAGTCTGACTATTGGGCTCCAATTCAGCAACCATGCCTCTTCAGGAAAGCACTTAAGCACAAACTTAATTTTAAGCACACATTTGAGTTCTAGTGATGTTAAGCACATACTGATGTGTTTTTCTGATTCAAGGCCATGGAGAGGAACTAGCCTCTCCCTGTTCCATGATCTGTTATGCAATCTACAAATGGCATTGCCTTGTTTTGCCACCATATTTTACTTCAATGTCATTTCTTATTTGCGGTCCAGCTTGATCCTTAGGTCTTATATATTATAATAACAAGTTTGTTACCAAAGTTATACAGTATTTCATGGCTAGGATGTAATTCGAGGGCTTTTTTTCATAGCAACAGTAGGATGTAATCGGGTTATATTTTAAAACCGTAAAATCACAGTCAAAAAATAACTATTTCAGAATGTAAATAAAAAATCCCACCTTTTACAGTATTTTAACCCTTAGGACTGCAAATGGACTAAAGTAAACTGTGTTCTGATTGGCTGAGCTATCTCTAATGTCACAATTCTACCATCTCACTTGCTATAATAATTTGTAAATCAAAGTCTAGGGTTTTTAAACATTATCTGCCACCTTTTACTCCTGCAATTGTTTCAGTAACACTCAGAATCTTATTGTAAAAAATAAATATACAGGAGGTTGTATGGACACTTTGTATATGATTTTAATAAATACATTTTTTCTTGTGATAGTCTTCAAAAATATACAACTAAAGGAAAAATATAAATCCACACATCTCTGCATTCTGATGCCATCACAAAATACTATAATTGAGTTTTATTTCATTATTATAATGATGTCTACAGAATATATGTTGATTGTATCTTTAATTTTAGATTATTGTATTTGTAATTTAGGGAAAGGAGTCTCTAGGTGAGGATAGGTGCTTCTTTATATGGGAAATTTCTAAATAATTAAAAATATAGGTGTCACGTTGTGTATGATAGTTAGGCTTGGTCTACACTAAACCCCCAAATCGAACTAAGGTACGCAACTTCAGCTACGTGAATAACGTAGCT